GTTGACGGCGCTGCAGAAAATGATAACCAATCAAAGCTCAAAGAGAGGAAAAATGAAAGGGAGAAAGAGGGAGGGGAATTGAGTGGATGAAAAGGATGAAGGAGAGGAGGATGGAAAGCTGGGGTTGTAAGGATTGGAGAGGAAGAGGGATGGCAAAGTGAGACAGAGAGATATCGGGAGGCAGAACGGGAGGGCAAAAGCGTAGGTGTAAGAAGTGAAGCAGATAGAAAAGATAGGAAGAAATGATTGAAGAGGAGAGGGAGAAGAGGCAAGGTTGTGGAAGGTGGGAAAAGGATGGGAGGAGAAAAGGATGGGAAAGATGGAAGAGAAAATGTTGGTAGGGAGTGAGAAAGGCATAGAGGGGAGTGGAATGGAAAGGTATGGAATGGGAATTGTATGGTGAAGTGACTTGTGGTAAGGGCAAGAGAGAGATGAGGAGAGGATGTGTAGATTTCTGCACTGGGGATTTACAGTGAGTGGGAAGGGAAGGACAGGGAAAGTCTCAGGGTCAGGGAAAAATCTGTCCCTCATGGTGCTATGACCAGTTTCAGTACTCTGGCTGGGGAATGGAGTAAATCGAGCTGTGATTTTGCAATCCATCTGTCTCGCTGAAACCTTGGGGAAGTTGGTAAAGATCAGGCTCAGCTGCAAAGCCCCTCAGAATGGAATAGCAGGAAGACACTCAATGGCTTAAATGCTTGAAGGATCATACTTGAAGGCTCTTGAAAATGAAGGCAAATCCAAATGAACAGGTGGAGAAAAAGGCAGTTGCTAAGATGCAACACATAATGCTCCCCTCATCCTTTCCCTTTTTCCTCCTTTCCACATCCCTCCTCTCCAACTCTGTCACCCTTCCTCAACTTCTTTTCCTATGTTAACGTAAATAAAGGGAACTTTTTTTGTTGAATAATGCATTACGGAGAATTGGGTGGGGAAGCTAGTTAAACCCTGTGAATTTCACCTCTGGCTAGAGGGGATCCTGGGTTCAAATTCACCTTTCAAGGTCCCCACAGACTGTGGGAAATGAGTTTGGCCAGTTTCAACATATGTGTTATTGGCAATGAAACAAAACTGGCAATTTGCTTTAGTGTGGTTACAGGAGAGTTAGTGACAGGGGAAATAATAGAATACTGAAGAAGAATCTTCTGAAAAAATAGAGTAGAGGGAGTGATTGAGAGTCTGAAAGGAGAGGGTTGTGCCCTACACCTCAGCGAACAATAGTTTTTATTTTTAAAACAATATTTCAAATCATTTTGTTTCATAAACCAACGGAAAGAAATCATGTCTCTTTGCTTCATAAGTGATGATTGCATTCTGAGTTTCTGTTGATTTCGCAGTGCTCCCAATGGGCTGCCCGTAGCTTTAGCTCTCAGTCACGTTGCTTAAATGAGGTTGAGGAGTGCTGGGATTGGGATGACAAAGAAAGAACTTACATTTATAAGGCACGGCACAACCTCAGAATGTCTCTTAATGTGCTTCACAAAATAATTAATCTTAGAAACTACCATGACATTCTCCAGATTGTTAGATCCACACAATCTGTAAAAGATTGGTAATTATCTTAAAAGCTGTACATGTTTAATTTTTTAATGGACTTCGCTGGACTAAAACGGTGACTATGTGTATCATGATTTGCAAGTTGACTACAGCTTCAGAAACATCAAGGCAATAATTAAAAGGACAAAGGTACACAGATCATCCCTACACCTAGTGATGCAGGGACAATACCATCACAGAAGGACAAAGAGAGCGGTAGAGTTTCGGTCTCTGAACCTAGTCTATAACAAAGAGAAAATCGTCATATCATATCATACTTGCAGAGGAACTAATAAACCAATCTAGCTTCGAGGATGGCCATAACATGTAGGAGCAGAAGTAGTCCATTCAGCCCAGCGAGTTTGCTCTGTCATTCCATGTGATCATGGTTAATCTAATAATCCTCAACTCCACTATCCTGCTCTTTTCTCCATAGCACTTGATTCCCTCAATGAATAAAAATCCATCTCAGTCTTGAATATATTTAATTACTCAACCTCTACAGCCCTCAGCAGTACAGAATTCCATAGATTCACAATGCTCAAAGGAGAAACTCCTCCTCCTGTCTGTTTCGAACAGGCAAACCCTTGTTCTGAAATAGTGCCCTCTGGTCCGAGACTTTTTCACAAGGGGAAGCAACCTCTTTGCATCTATCCTGTAAAGTCCCCTGAGAATGTTATATATTCCAATAAGGTTGCCTCTCATTCTTCTAAGCTTGAATGAGTATGCACCCGACCCACTCAACCTGTCCTCATAACACAGTCCTTCCGTACCTGGGATCAACGTTTATGAACCTTCTCTGGACTGCCACTAATAGCAATAGATCTTTCCTTAGGTAAGGGCCCAAAAATGTCCAGAGTATTCCTGGTATAGTATGACCGGTATAACAAATGGTTTTAACAAGATTTTTATATTCTGGCCAATGCTCTATTTACATTCTGTATTATCTACTGAACGTGGATGCTAGCTTTTTCTGATGTATGCTCAAGATGCACAATGGATCAAGGGCATATAAGCCGCTTGATAAATTTAAATTGATATCTTAGTGGGCCCACCACATGACAAAATCTCCACTGATATTTGAAAAACCTTGCTTTATTTGCTAAAGCTCTTATCTGTCAGTAACCTCCTGTCTGCCTTGTAAAAATCTGAGTCAGTCGAGCCTACAACACCATCAAAGACATTCAGACTACAGATTAATAGCCGAGCCTGTCTCAAATCCAAGTAAACCTCTTTGCAACATAGTTTCTAAGAAAAAACTGCAGGTGGAATCTTATATAGGGTCTTAACAACGTGTGCTATGGTGAGTTGTGTGGCAGAATCTGGTGGCAAGTGCAGCAGGGTCTATCTCCATGTCAATATCATCTTATTCTATCTTTTATGCTTTTCACAAGTGGAGTGATGAAATTTTCACTCGGAAGCAGCAAAATACCAACTCATTATTGTTATTGATTATAAGATGCTTGTTAATGCCACAACATGCTTCGTTAATATTCAGACATGCAAATTACCAAGCTTGCCAAACAAACTGGACATCGGAACAAATTTATAAGGAAACCAGAATGTGTAGCTGGTGGATTCAACTTTCTCCAAACTATCTCCATGTTGCCCATGCCAAACTGCAACCCAGAATATGAACGTCGAGCAGCAGTCACACTCACTCCTCATCCACGGACATTGACATCTGCCATCTGCCAATCCATCACAATTATCCTGGAAGTTCTACTATGCACTCCTCCAGAAGCACAGACTTGCATTGCAGGGGGCACCAGCAACAAGCTCTGAAAAGGGGCACAGCTTACAGACTGGACCTGGCTGCAGTTTAGCATTGATCAGTTACTCATGGTGCTTGCTCACTTAGCATCCCTGCCTTGGCATGCCAATTAGCTTAGTCAAACAACTTGGCAGCTTGCCTTCCTACTAAGGAATCTACATCCTAGTGGGTGTACATTTTGCTGAACATGTGTGTTATGTGAGTTACACACCTGCTCCATGTGCCAACAGTGTAAATGGCCAATACACTTCATGTGCAGCAACAAACATCTATGTATCTAACTCTAAGAAGAATAGTCATCAATGAAGTTCATGGCGGAACCCATTAGTCACGGGATCATGGCATAGTAAATCAAGGGCATTGGGCATGGTCAGGTGTCCTTTTTGAGGTCAGTGTCTCTTCACCTCAGGAAGTGGGTCATAATCAGTCCATTGGCGCTGAAGCAGCAAGTTTGGGAGTTAGGGCTAATGCAGTTGTGGAGATGTAATAGTAATAGTCAATGGTCAAGCACATCTTTCCCAGGGCTTTGTGATCATGATGGTCAAGTGGTGAGCTAAAGCCAGTTTGTTGGGTTAAAGGAAGGGGGTGAGGAGGAGTCGTGTGCAATTACAATCACAGCCAGGACACTGACAGTGATCCCACAAAAATATAAGCTTGAGAAACTGCTGTATGAGCTGTTCCCGATGTGGCCTCCTCGACATCAGTGAGACCAAGCAGAGGCTTGGAGACCACTTTGTACAGCACCTGCACTCTGTCTATGAGGACAGGAACAATCAGGAGACCGTGCTGTCAGTGGGCTTCATATCATACAGTCTGGCATAATAGGATTTGCTCATCTTCAGAATGTCAGAATGAGATGGCGTTACCGAGCCATCTTCTTCCTTCAGGCTGCTGATCACAGAGCTCTCTTTGTGCACCTTCTGAAAGAAGAAACATGAGCACGTCTCATCCTGCTCCATGGAGCAGACCCTGAACGGGATGTTTATCTTTAAGGCCTCTCAGGCCAAGTGTGAAGCTTGCTGACTCTTCATCTCCTGGAGATCCTCCGTAACATTGACCCCCATTGTCTGCAGCAGGGGCAGGTTCGGCAAATTTTTCTGAAGTTTGGACAGTTTTCCCCACCTCTCTCTCGCCTTCTGAACACCTTTGAGGATGAAGAACGTCTTGATATTCCCTTTGACTGTTTCCCACCAGTTCCCCTGGACACTCAAAGCGGGGCTTCACAGTTCTCCAAACTGTGTAATCCCTTTTGAGCTCCTCACTGTTTTCTAGGGTCAACAGTTTCATGTTTAGCTTCCACCTTCCCTTGCCAGCCCACTGGTTGTCCTGTAGGTGACAGTCAGACAGCAGGAGGCAGTGGTCAGAGAAGAACACCAGCTTGACGTCGATGGATCTGACCGAGAATGTATGGGAAACAAACAGGAAATCTATCCTTGAGCAGATAGACCTGTCTGTGCGTGACCAGGTGTATCTGCACTGCGCTCCATCTGCAGGGGTGCTGAAGACATTGTGCAGCTTGGTGTCTTTAACCATTTCCATCATGTGAGCTTCAACAGAAACTCACAGGGCAGGAAAGAGTTAAAATGAGTTGATGAAGTTGCCTTATAGTTCTTTGCTTTGAATATAAGTCACTCTACAAGGGCAAGGTTCATTTTCAGTATTTCATTCTGAATCACGCACACTCACTACATTGAGTACTGAAATGCTGTGCTGATTTAATATTGGTCCACTGGTTCACTGTATTGTTGGGGATAGATGGCAAGGAAAGGGAGAGCAAATGGTTCAACTCATACAAAGTCTAATAATTCCATCGATTTTGAGTAGCTTTCAAGCATTTGTATTGACTTCAGATCATAAAAAGCTCTGTAATTACATGAAGCCTTGTAACAATGTTCAAATTTTTCTATTTTCAGCTGCTAATTTTACAAACATTTGGCCTTTGACAACCCTCAGTTACAGACCCATCGATCTATTTAGGTATCCCTGCTAACTGGTGGTCTCCTAGGAAAGGTTAGGTTTTAGAGGACATGTAGGTCGCAGAGGCATAGAGAACGAGTTTGAGAGAATGAGTGGCATTGGCATAGGGAGGAAGAATCTCTCTGAGGTTAGACTGAAGCAAAGGCACGGCTGTGAGCTATTTCGTCAATTGAGGACCAAACGAGCAAGAATGGTTCAAAATCCATTCTATCCCTTGAAGGATGAGGTGAGATGTCATGAATTCCAAACAGCACAATATGTTTAAGATCACTTTAGCTCCTTTGTTCCAATGGGATTAGGCTGGTGGATGAAAGGAACAGGACAATTCAATATACAAACAATGCACTGTCCCTTAAGCATTCCAGAAATATGGAATAAAAATAGAAAGTGCTGGAGAAACTCAGGTGGTCTGGCAGCATCTATGGAGAGCCACACATTTTGAGTCCATTATAACTGTTCTTCAGACCGAAAATATTAGCTCTTTCAGTCTCCACGCATGCTGCCAGACCACCTGAGTTGCTCTGTTTGTATTTCACATTGCCAGCATCAGAATTGTTGATCTGATTCAACGTAATACAGGAACATAGGGAAAATGCACCACATGAATCTTCACATCATTGGATTGAGATAAAGGGGAATAACTTGAATGTTCCCTGTGGGATTTTACAAAGTTATGGTCAGGAGAGTGAGAGAGATTCCTTACGACTCTCCTGCCAATCCCAGCTAAGAGCTGCTGGCCCAATGTACACAGACTGAATACTTCAAAAAGGATTTACTTCCCCCTGGGTACTGATGGAACATTAAGGAGAAACAAACTGTGCTGGCTTTTCACAGATCCAATGTAGAGAGGCATCACATGATTGATCATTCCAACCTCCATCACCATATATTTCTGCACAGTCTTCATTGGAAGCATCATTTGGTTCACCCTTCTTCCAAAATCTAAAAAGAAAGATGATACAATTCATGATAAGAATTCCTGCTGTAAATTAATGCAAAATTCCAGTGAGACTCAAACAATTGAACTTCTAAGAATGGCTCAGTATGTCTTTCGTTTGCAATAAACTGCAGTAATGAAATTGAATGGATTCATTGGCATTGAACTGGCCACCAGAAAAAACAACAAGTTTACATAGCCTTACCAACCTTCAAAATTCTTTCTTCCTAACAGCTGGGGCAGAGGCAATATGGTGTCTGGGGAGGAACCAAATCTGTCTCACAGATGAGTCACATCAACAGCCTGCAATCATCTTAGTCACAGAATCCCAACATCTCAACACCACCATCAACAGAATACGGTATTTACCTGTCCCACAGGCAGGACAGACACATTCATGATAACATACTGGTTTCGGGTTGGGAGGGAATTACCTTGGAAAGTCCTCAACAGTTCGTCGAGTCAAACATGGACAAGAAAACTTCCTGCTGTCCATCAATTACTGCCCTTTCTGGGCTGATGAATCAGTTCTCCAGCATGCTGAACACCACTTGAACGCAAAGCTGAATGGCAAGGGCACAGAAAGTACTCTGCACGGGGAATGTGCCCACCACTGAGAGTGACTCAGTAGGACCTCTGCAGATTGAGCTTGGCAGTGACATAGTGGCTAGACTGAGCCTGTTGCAGGTGGTGAGGGAGCCGAAAAGAGGGAAAATCTACTTGACTTCGAACTCAGCAAGCTACCTGTTGCAGATGCATCCATCCATGTCAGGAAGTTAACAGTAAACAGATTCAGCAAACACAAACTGCTGTAGGCCATTAACAGCAGCAGAACTGCAGTCAGTTGTAACCCCATGGCTGGCAGAGTGAAGAGTGAGGAAGGCATGCTCAGAGTAGCACCTGGTATACCTGAAACTTGTCAACTTGGTGAAGCTACAACACAGCACAAATGCAGATCAGCAAAATCAAAATATGGTAGACAGCATTAAGTGATCTTAACAACCAAGAAATGCAATCTAATGAAAGTAAAATACTGCAGATGCTGGAAATTTGAAACAAATACGGAGATTGGTGGAAAAAGTAGCAAACATAAACTCTCCAGTCAAGAATGAAGGGTTACTGAAAACAGGGATCAATAGGCTATCTAGTTTGATGTCTTTCATGGAGAAGGTGTCAGAATTCATCATGGAGGAGGTTATTGCTGGGTGCTGCCAAGAAATAAAACCAGAAAGAACTGGAGAAATTGAACAGGTCTGTCAGCATCTGTCGAGAAAGAAATAGATTCGGTTTCCCTCGCCACAGATGCTACCAGACAATTGGTGTAATAAAAACAATCTGTCTCTCTATGTCAGCAAAACTAAAGAATCGATCATCAACTTCAGAAAGAAAGGAGGAGAACATACGCCCATCTACATTAATGGAACTGAGTTTGAGAGAGTGAAGAGCATCAAGTTCCTCGGACTGACGATAATGGATGACATGTCCTGGACTTCCCACATAAATGCAACAATCAAAATGGCACAACTATGGCTCTTCTTCCTGAGGTGGCTCTGGAAATTTGGCATGTCCATAACGTCCAACATCAACTTCTATAGATACACCATTGAAAGCATACTGTCCGGGTACATCATGTCCTGGTATGACAACTGCTCTGCCCAGGACCATAAGAAACTACAGAAGGTGAAGTGCACAGCCCAGACCATCACGGAAGCCAACCTTCTATCCATGGATCTATTTACATGGTTCGCTGCTACAGAAAGGCGGCCAACATCATCAAAGACCCCGTGCACCCTGGTAATGACCTCCTACAACGTCTTCCATCAGGCAGAAGATACAGAAGCCTGAACACATGCACAAGCAGGTTCAGGAACAGGTTCTTTCCAGCTGTTATCAGAATGTTGAATGGACTCTCGCCTCAAATAATGTAACCTGCAATGTAACCTGTATGCCTCTAAACCTTTCGATCTGTATATCCTTTGCTTACTGTGATCTGCCTGTGCCTTTTGTAAAGAAAGCTTTTCACTCTATTTCAGTCCAAGTGACAATAACGTCAATCAATCAATCAAACCTGCTGAATTTCTCCAGCACTCTTTGTTTAGACCGGCTCTAAGTTCTGTCGTCCTGCCATATTGAGTCTTGAATGGTGCTGGACAATTAAACAACTCACTGGAGGAAGAGGTTCCACAAGTATCCCCGTCCTCATTGATGGAAGAGTCCAACACATCAGTGCAAAAGATAAGACTGAATCTTTTGCAGCATTCGTCAGCCAGAAATTCAGAGTGGATAATCCATTTTAGCCACCTCCAGTGGCCCCCAGCAGCACAGATGCCAATCTTCAGCCAATTTGATTCACTCAACATGATATCAAGGAATGGTCAGAGGCACTGGATACTGAAAACGCTGCCGTCCCAAACTTACTGAAGCCTTGTGCTGCAGAACTTGCCAAGCCCCCAGCCAAGCTCTTCCAGTACAGCAATAAATTGTATGCCAGAAGAATTAATGCTTGGTCAATAGTGTTTTGTTTTTGTCATTTAATGTAGTCAAAGTTTATTTTAAAGCATGAAATATTGAAATATCACCTGTTCAGCTCAGCACTGGATGTTTGACGTTTTCAAGTCAGTGTTGGTATCTATGATTGTAACAATATCTAATCTTCCATCAGTCATCCACACCCTCTTCCAGGGAGGCTGATGGCTTATATATTCATTTCTTACTTTCCCCTTCCCTGTTATCCAAAAACAGATGCTTGCTCTGTTTCATTTCAAACACACAAATGCTGCTTTCTGCCCCGACAGTGAAGAGCAGAAAGACAGTGAAGATGCACTGTCACTCGATTTTACACATACAGCCACCAGCTTAGAGATGGACAAAATGAGCAATTTAAAAGGTACAAAAGAATTAGGATCTGAATGTGGTGAAGCACTGCTGTCAGGTCTGAGAGAATGGAAATCTCAGGTACCACCTCACCAGAAGGTGAGTTTGCCCTCTGCTTTGGCTGCAGGAGACTCAGAAGAGGACTTCAATATCCAGGCGCCAGAGGAAGAGTCATGGGTACACACACTAAGCTGTTCAGGGAATTGAGAATCCTGCTAGAAAGACTACATTTAAGTTTCAAGGTGCACTGAAGAATCTGGTACTAACTTGGCACAGGGCTTGTGCAGGGATTGGACCCCATTCCTGCCAGCAAAGATTGGACAGTCACCTCCATGAACAAACCTGTGCAGTCAAACAGGGTACAGAATCCTTACAACACATGCGCTATTGTTCCGATATCTCAGTTTGGCAATAGAATCTCAGACTGCTGCTGTTATGGCTCGAAATACCAGTGTGTCATGCAACACTAGCAAAGCTCAGGGAAAAAGCTGTTCTCTTTCAAGTGTGCTCCCTAATCGTCTCTGCCATTATGGTCCCTGTGAAAAATAGCTACTTTTACTCTTCCTTTCCCCTTCTTTCAGCTTATTATGCTCTGCATGATCTCTCCTCATTGTCCCAGTTGTGCTCAATGATAAGAATAAATACTCGTAGGGCACCACTGGAGATAACTGGTTTGTGAACAAAGCCTTCAGTCACTGAAATAAAATCAGCCAGACCACTCCTTATAATCTATTAAAACTTTTCTCAAGTTTAGAAATATACTGTAAATTGCATAGAATTGTAGCGATGTGATGAATAAATATTTCAGCAACTGACCTGTAACTAGTTGAAAGTCTTTTTAAACTAGCATTGCCGGGAGGAGTTTCATGCCACTGAGGGTTGTGCTCAGATGTCAGAATTTGAGAGAGTGAAGGCTGGAACTCTGGACTGAGTTACATCATGATCTGCATGCTCTGTACAAAGCTCATGTACAGTGATGTGCATGTATGGCAAACTCTTTTATCAACACAGCAGTCATCACACTCTGCAAGTGAGTGCACACACTGGAGATGCCATTTTGCAACTTAAAGGAACCACATGGTGCCCGTTAGACACCTACTGTCAGACCCAGTTTCACTCCCTTTGTCTCTAAATTAATCGTTCAGTTTACGTAAATTGCTGAAGCTCAACTTCAAAACACATCCAGCTTTTTATTTTATTTCCAGTATATTGCCCAAATATTGTCCAAAATGTACAATCAGAAAGCGAGTTTACTTTACAGAGGAATTGTAGTCCGTCCCATCCATCCAGCGCCAATCACCTTCCGCGATAGAATCAGTGAGTCCAATCCAGTAATCTTTGTGTTGGAGCCACTTTTTTACAAATCCCTGCCAAGTAGATAAAAGAGTCGTTACAGTAAATGGAATAAAGCATGTTGTTGGTAATGTTACAACTTCTATCTGAGGCCTCAACTCATTCATTTCAAAGTAATTTTGCTCACTATGAAACAGCTCCGCATAATACAAATTTGTATCTATGAACAATTAAGTACGTTTTCTTTTTATTCTATTTTCTATTCATGTAAAGGACGTGTGTAGCAATTGTTGACCATCCCTAATTGCTGGTGGTGAGCCACCTTTTGGAATTGCAGCAGTCTAAGAGAAGTAGTGATGGGATTTTAACCAAGCAACAGTGAAGGAATATCAATATAGCTCCAAGTCAGTACGATGTATTTCTTGGAGAGGATTTTGCTGGTGATGGCACTGAAAATTTCATGGGTTTGGAAGATGCTGTTGAAACAGCCTTGAAGAGTTTCAGCAGTACATCTTCTTGATGTTAAATACTGTTCCTACTGTGCATTGTTGGTGATTGACTGTTAGAAATAATGATTTGGTGCCAATCAACAACAACAAAGGCCACTTTATCCTGGATGGTGTCAAGCTTCTTGAGCATTGTCGGAGCTGCATTCATCCAGTCAAGTGGGGAGTGTTCCATCTCACTCCTGACTTGAGCCTTGCAGACTGTCTTTGGGGAGTCGGGAGGTGAGTTACTCACTGTAGGATTCACAGAGTCATACAGCATGGAAACAGGCCCTTTGGCCCACTATATCTATGCTGACCATGAAGCACAAAACTACACTTATTCCGTTTTACCTGCACTTGGTCCATAGACTACCTCCACTGGTCATTTGAAGTGCTCCTCCAGATATTTCTTAGATGTTGCGAGAGCGCATGCCTCCATCACCCTCTCAGGTAGCACGTTCCAAATTTCTGCCACCCTCTGGATGAAAAATCCTTTCTCAGATCCCCTGTAAATAATTTACTCCACGCATTAAATTTGTGCCCTTTGGTCTTAGTCAAGTCCGCATGGGGAAAAGATTCCACTGTCTATGTTTCTCACAATTTTGTTACCAGCCGTATAACAGATATTTTCCATCACAGTCAATGTCTTGGTGAATCTCCTCTGCATCCTCTCCACTGCAATCAAATCATTGCATTAGTGTGGTAACCAAAACTGCACATAGCATCCATCTGTGGACTAACTAATGTTTTATAAGCTTGTAATAAGGCTTCCTTGCTCCGATAATCTATGCCCAGCTAATGAAGGCAAGAATCCCATCTGCCTTCTTCACCACCCAGTCTACCTGTGCTGACATCTTTTGGGATCTCTGCACTTGTACACCAAGGTCCAATTGGTCCTCAGTAATCCTTAGGGACTTAACTTTCATTGTGTATATCTTTCCTTTATTCAACTTCCCAAAATGCAATACTTCGCATCGATCAAGATTAAATTCTATTTGCCATTGCTCTATCCAATTTATCAATTTATCAATATCAGACTGTAGCCTGAGATCATCCTTCACACTATCAACACACACCAACAATTTTCATGTCATCTACAAACTCGCTGATTATGTGGTGTATATGGATCTCAGTAAAGCGTTTGATAAGGTTCCCCACGGTAGGCTATTGCAGAAAATACGGAGGCATGGGATTGAGGGTGATTTAGCAGTTTGGATCAGAAATTGGTTAGCTATAAGAAGGCAGAGGGTGGTAGTTGATAGGAAATGTTCATCCTGGAGTTTAGTTACTAGTGGTGTACCGCAAGGATCTGTTTTGGGGCCACTGCTGTTTGTCATTTTTATAAATGACCTGGACGAGGGCATAGAAGGATGGGTTTGTAAATTTGCGGATGACACTGAAGTCGGTGGAGTTGTGGATAGTGCGGAAGGATGTTGCAGGTGACAGAGGGACATAGATAAGCTGCAGAGCTGGGCTGAGAGGTGGCAAATGGAGTTTAATGCGGAAAAGTGTGAGGTGATTCACTTTGGAAGGAGTAACAGGAATACAGAGTACTGGGCTAATTGTAAGATTCTTGGTAGTGTGAATGAGCAGAGAGATCTCGGTGTCCATGTGCATAGATCCCTGAAAGTTGCCACCCAGGTTGACAGGGTTGTTAAGAAGGCGTACAGTGTGTTAGGTTTTATTGGTAGAGGGATTAAGTTTCAGAGCCATGAGGTCATGTTGCAGCTGTACAAAACTCTGGTGCGGCCGCACTTGGAGTATTGCGTACAGTTCTGGTCACCGCATTATAGGAAGGATGTGGAGGCATTGGAAAGGGTGCAGAGGAGATTTACCAGGATGTTGCCTGGCATGGAGGGAAGGTCTTATGAGGAAAGGCTGAGGGACTTGAGGCTGTTTTCGTTAGAGAGAAGAAGGTTAAGAGGTGACTTAATAGAGACATACAAGATGATCAGAGGATTAGATAGAGTGGACAGTGAGAGCCTTTTTCCTCGGGTGGTGATGGCTAGCACAAGGGGACATAGCTTTAAATTGAGGGCTGATAGATATAGGACAAATGTCAGAGGTAGGTTCTTTACTCAGAGAGTAGTAAAGGCGTGGAATGCCCTGCCTGCAACGGTAGTAGACTCGCCAACTTTAAGGGCATTTAAATAGTCATTGGATAAACATATGGATGATAATGGAATAGTGTAGGTTAGATGGGCTTCAGATTGGTTTCACAGGTCAGCGCAACATCGAGAGCCGAGGGGCCTGTACTGCGCTGTAATGTTCTATGTTCTATGTTCTATGTTCTATACCTGCTATAATCACATCCAAGTTATCAATACAAGTAACAAACCGCAAGGATCCCAGCACAGTGGTACACCGCTGGTCACAGGCTTCCAATCACAAAAACATCTTTCCACCATCATTCTCGCCTCCTGTCTGCAAGTGAATTTTGGCTCCAGTCTGCCAATATGTCTTGAACCTCAAGGGCTCTTTCTATGGGGCACCTTGTCAAAGGCCTTATTGAAGCCCACATAAAACACATCTTCTGCACTCCTTTCATCAAGGTAATTAGCCACATTTTCAAAAAAAATCTCAATTAAATCAGTGAGACAAGATTTCCCTCTAACAAATCCATGCTGACTATCCCTGATTAATCACTGCCTTTCCAAGTTTTGATTAGTCCTGTCCCTCAGAAATGTTTCCAATAATTTCCCTCCCATTCTCCTCAGACTAATTGGCCTGTATTTACTTGGCCTATTCCTGCTGCCATTCTTGAACAAAGGAACCACGTTAGCTTTTCTCCAGTCACCTGACACTTCACCTGTGGCCAGTAAAGTATGAAATATCTCTGCCAGGACCCCAGCAATCTCCTCCCATGCCTCCTGTAGCAGCCTGGGATAGATCACATCAGGTCGTGGGTATTTATACAGCTTTACGACAGATAAAATATCTAATCCCCTCCTTATTAATCTAAAAATGTTCTAGAATCTCACTGTCCCAAATTAAATCTCCATGTCTTTCTCTGCTGTGAATACAGATGAGAAATATTCATTAAAGACCTCACGGACATCCTCTGGCACCACCAACAGGTTATCCCTTTGGCCACAGTGGATCAGTGGTTAGCAATGCTGTCTCATAGCACTAGGGACACAGGTTCAATTCCAGCCCTGGGTGACTGTCTGTGTGCAGTTTGTACATTCTCCCCTCGTCTTTGCGTGTTTACATTGGGTGGTCCAGTTTCCTTCCACAGTCCTAAGATGTGCAGTTTAGGTAGACTGGGCATGCTAAGTTATCTGTAGTGTATAGGAATGTATAGGTTAAGTGGATTAGACACCGGGAAATGTGGGGTTATGAGGGTAAGGTGGGGGAAAGGGTCTGCATGGGATGCTCTTTGGACGATCAGTGCAGACTTAGTGGGCCGAATGGCCTCTTTCCACACTGTGGAGATTCTATGATTCTAATCAGTCCCACTCTTGCCTTGGAAATCCTCTTGCTCTTAATATACTTTGAAGATGCCTTGGGGTTTTCCTTAATTCAATCTGCCAAAGATATTTCATGGCGGTTCTTTGCCATCCTGATTTCATTCTCAACAATCCCCTACACTCTCCGCACTTTTGAAGGGCTTCTCCTGTTTTTAATGTGCTGTACCTGACATATGCTTCCTTCTTTTCTTTATCAAACTCTCGATATCTCTTGACATCCAGGGTTCCCTGGACTTGCTACTTTTGCCTTTCACTCTTAGAGGAACATGGTTACCCTGAGTTTTCACTGCATTACTTTCCAAATGTAGACTTACCTGCAAGTTACTGCAACCAGTGTATGTTTGCTCGATCCTATGTAATGGTATTGAAATTGGCCGTGCCCAATTTGGATACTTAACTTCTGCATTTTCCTGATCTCTTTTCAGAGCAACATTTAAACTTACTGAGTTATAGTCACTAGCCACAAAATATTTGCCCATTGAAACTCTAACTGCTGGAATGGATTCATTCTCTAGGACTATGTTTGGCACTCTCCCTTCTCTAGCATAACTAAATATGTACTGGCACAAAAACCTGTCCTGGATGCACTTTAAAAATTCCTCCCTGTTTAATGCTTTTGCACTACAACGATCCCAATTAATGTTAGCACATCTGGAATTCAGAATCCACTGTTGCCCATGAAACCATTGCTGATTGTCTGAAAAACCCATCTGGTTCACTAGTGTCCTTTAGGGAAGGAAATCTGCCATCCTCACTTGGTCTGGCCTACTGTGACTACAGACCCACATCAATCGGGTTGTTTCTTAACTGCCCTTTGAAATGGACTACCAAACTACTCAGTTGTATCAATTGCTGCAAAGCCCCAACAAAGAAATGAAATTGGTCGAAAGACACCACATGGCCTGCAGTGGTTCAAGAAGGCAGCTGACCACTACCTTCTCAAGGGCAACTAAGGAAGACCAATAAGTACTGGCGCAACCAAATTGCTAAGAAGTTGAAATTCCCTACTGCTATAAGCTTGTTTCTATCACATCTCTCTGTGATTTGCCTACATACCTGCTTCTCTATCTCTCTGTGACTTGTTGGAAGGCCTATAGTATAATCCCAGCAAAATAATCACCCCTTTATTATTTCGAAGCTCTACTTAGATAGCCTCGTTTCGAGATCTCTCTGAGACATCCTCCCTCATTACTGCAGTGATGGTTGTCTTTATCAATAATGCAATGCCCCTGACTCTCCTACATCCCTCCCTACTGCAGCTGAAACTTCTTTAAGGTGGAACATTGAGCTGCCAGTCCTGCCCTTCCTTTGACCAGTTCTCATTGATTGCAACAATGCCATGTCCTCCCTGCCTACTGGACTGTCTTTCTATATTTGATTCCTAGACTCTAACCTGATATTGTAGCTACTGTGTTTATATGGCTAGTCCAGTTCAGTTTCTGTTAGTGGTAACACCCAGGATGGGGGATTCAATGATGATAATGTCATTAACTGACATGGGCCGATGATTAGGTTCTCTCTTGTAGGAGATGGTCATTGCTTGGAACTTGTGCAGTATAAAGGTCACTTGCCACTTTTCAGCCCAAACCTGAATATTGTCCAGATCTTGTTGGATTGATGACTGCTTGAGAGTCTGAGGACTCGCAAATGGTGCTGAACATTGTGCAGTCATTGGCAAACATTCTCAGTTCTGACCTTATGATGGAGGGAAGGTCATTGATGGAACAGCTGAATATGGTTGGGCCTAGGATACTACCCTGAAGAAATCCTGCAGAGATATCCTGGAGCTGAGATGACCAACCTCCAACAAACAGAACCACCTTCATTTGCGCCAGATATGACCCCAACCAGTAACAAAAACAAAGTTGCTGGAAAAGCTGAGCAGGCCTGGCAGCATCTGTGCAGAAAAAATCAGAGTTAATGTTTCGGGTCCAGTGACCCTTTCTCAGAACCCTTTCAGTGATGGGTCATTGTAGCTTTACCAAGTTTGGCTCAGAGTATTTGAGCTGGAGACTGAGGTGCAGATATTGCGGGGCATCAGGAAGACAAAATGTTACCTGGGTACTTTGTTCCCTGGACTCTCTGCTTACATTAGGTTGCACTTCAGAGTTGGCCAGTGGTCGGCGACAGGAGGATGTAACCATGAGTCAAGCTGGTGGAGAGATCCAAGATGTAGTGTTGGAACACTCTTCCTCTCTTGATTTTGACCAGCAAGTATGAGGTATTTGCTAGCTGTCTGGATAAAAGCAAGTACTGCAGTGCAACTGCAGCTAAATGGCCCATAGCTCCACGATGTGAGAACCATTCAAATGGGGGCTGTGAAGTGTAAATGACAGTGTCGATACTGACGTTGTTTTCCATGGCCGGGGATTAGAAAACATTAGGATACAGTCTGTGGGTGAGGGAGCTCTTCACCCAGAGGTTTGTAGTCCTTTGGAACTGTGACCCCTCAGAGGATGTGGGTTACAGACTGAGATTGGCAGATTTATGATCTCTCAGGGAACAAAGGAATATTGGGGAGCATGTGAGATCTGAAATGAATGCAGATGATCATCCATGATTGTATTGAATAGAGGGGCAGGCTTTGGGCTGACGTTTTTGAATCTTACCATTTACATCCTGTCTTGCTGAATGTTTAGTTTGACATTGTCACGGAGTTCACTGAGAAACGGCTAGGAGTTGATGGGTTTGAAATTGTTTGAAACTCTTACCTGCTCCTCAGGCTTGTTAATGACAAGAAGATTGGCATCCATTGATGCACAGGATCTCTGGGCCTCTGTCCAGCTCTTGCTGTCTGATGAAAAGTAATAACACTTTTGCTGGAATCGCCTCCAGTGTTCAGAACACTTCCAAAGCAGTTCTGTGGGAGCATGTAATAAATAAATTTTTAAGTCTGAAGGGATGCTGCAGTACCTCATTAATCTCCTTGTTTAATAAAATTTTACCCAGTATTGTGATGTTACTGGTTAGAAACCATGCAGTGTCTTACCCAAAGCTATGTTTAACTCAGAGTCTTACCCTCCAAGTGAGTGATGATTGAATTCAATCCTCTTGCAGCACACACTGTGACTGAGAAATCAATCCACCCAACTCAATGGTTTGTTACTGACGACCTGCAGACCCCAATCCCAGAGGTAACTCAGCAGACCCAGAATCACCAGGATCAGCCGACCTTACAGAGGTCAATCAGAGAGAGCCAGAGGGGAAGGCAGTCAGGGAGGAATTTACAGGGGAGGGAAGATGGTTAGCAGGATAGAGATTGAGATGGCATTATAGGGGCCTTGGATAAGGGTGGCGTAGTGAGGCCTGGTGAGGAGAGGCTGCAGAGAAAAGATGAGACATTTGAGAGGTCAAAAAGCAAAGATCTGTCAAACATTGATGGCTTATATCAAAATGGCAGGTCTCCTTTGGCAAGTGTCAAGTGTATTTTTTATTCCAAGTGTCTCTGGAGAATCGCCTGAACAAAGAAGTGATTTTGGCAAATTTCAGAGATACATTACAGGTGAAAACAGATGAGCAAATCAGGGGGAGAGGAATAGAGGCTACAGTGAAACAGGGAGTTGATGTAAGGCTGGGAGATGTTTAAAATTAAGCATAAACATCAACATGGATCAGTCAGTCCAAACAAAATGCAAAAGGCATAATTTTACTGATTTCACAACTGAATTTTTTTCAAGATTATTCAGAACGATGTCCTGGTGATTGATTTTCAATTCCTGGAGACACTGATGAAACCAGAGTGTGTTGCCAAGGCAATGTTTGAGAGTGGGGAAAGATGGAGGGACACTCTGATTTGTCTTCTTTCAGGCAGAATGAAACTAATGTGTGCAAAAATTGACCTGACCCTCTCTGGATTCCTGGTTTCTGGTCATTAGCAAGGCCCTGATCTTAGCCAGTTGTGGTCACCCAGCAGTATGCCATGGGTTGTGTGGGTTATCAACACCATAGTTTTTCCAAATGGGCCATGAGAGGCCACCTCTGGGCAACCAGAATTGTTAATGGGGCTGTTGAAAAGGTCCTGGCAGTGTCACTGAAATAAGTAGCGAGTGATAGCTAAGGAGGCACATGGCTGAATGTGATTAGCTATCCTCTGCTGCCTGCCATTGTCAGTTAGAGATGGGATGATGTCAGAAACCTCTTCAATATAGAATGAGCAAATGTTGCTTCTGGTCGTCTCTCCAAGCCCATTTGCTCAGCACTGGGATCAATCAACCACTTGCCTCTGCTGATGGAAAAGTGTCAAAGAACCTGATGGGTTGCTGTGGGGGAAGGAATTGAGTGAACAGCTGACCCAGACACCCAAATGTGGAAGGATCCAAACAATCCCCAAAACACACCAACCCTTCCACACACTCCCCCTTCCTCACACTCACCCCTCCTCAACACTGCCCTCCACACACTCTCCCTTCCCCACACACTGCTCCCTCCTCGCATACTGCCCCTTCTACACACTCCCCCGTCCTCACATATACACTCCCCTGGCCACACACTCCCCCGTCCTCACACATACACTCCCCTGGCGACACACTCCCCCGTCCTCACACATACACTCCCCTGGCCACACACTCCCCCGTCCTCACACATACACTCCCCTGGCCACACATTCCCCCGTCCTCACACATACACTCCCCTGGCTACACACTCCTCCGTCCTCACACATACACTCCCCTGGCCACACACTACCCCCTCCACACATACAC